ACTTTGGCTCAGTGTCACAGAGGGAGCTATATGCTGAATGTTCAGCACTATTTATTGCACCATACCTAGACATTTATTAATAGTTTTACCTTTACTTTCTCTGTTTTTTTGCCCATATCCAGGTCTAGCTGTTCCAAGAATACGTGTAATTGCAAAGAACTGTTGAGAAAAATATTGTTGGAAACTATTGGTTTGAGAAAGCACAGGAAAGAGTAAAAGAGGGTGTAAACAACTGTATTCTTTAAATGTAGATTTCATTTTCTTTGCAGCATCAACAGTGAGAGTGTTTGAGACACCATTAATAACATGTGCAGTGGGGACATATTATGCAAGTCCTGAAACTTGAGAGCTAGTAGCTGTTCTGCTACCTGAGCTTAGGCCCTAAGGGAAGGAGGAAGGACAGCCTGGGTACACCGAGCTGCCCGTCTGGATGACTCCACTCGTGAGAGGAAGGCTTGAGGTACTGCTGCAAGCTCATGAAAAAATCCCACAGGGATGTTTTTAACTAGCACAACTTAACCAGAGGCACGAGAGGGGAATTAATTAACTAAAAAATATTAAGATTCACTGAAGTGTGTCTTCAAGAGCCATCACTGTTCAACTTCTACCATGGATTTTAGCTTCTAGCTCCTACAGGGTAATTTGTAAAAACATATTGACTTGGCTGATTGGTTTTTCTTCTCTCATCGAGCCCTTGTTATCTAAGAAGAATTTCCACCAAGGGTTTGAGAAACAACCAAAGAGCAGCCTCACTGCCTGATGATCTGTTATGCTCCAAGCTGAAAGCAGAACAACTCAAACTGTACCCTCTGCTAATACGACTGGTACAGAAGGTGAGGAGATGCCTTTGCTTCAATACCCCACTTCATCAGGTAAGACAACTCCACATCATTTAAAGTAATAACTGAATATTAATGTGATACAGATTATGTTTTACAGTAAGAAAATGCTTTTAAATAGTAATGGTAACTCTTTATTGAAGAAAACAGAAACAAAGAAAAAGATGTTGTAAAATGTTTTTTTTTGTTGGCAGCGTCAGTATATTCCAGTGAAAGCAGGCAGATTTTTGTGTGGTCATCAAAATTACTTCCAAACCAACTGTGAATTCAGACTGTGAATTCAACAAGATTATCGTCCATGTGTTCGCAATCAAGTGACCAACTGTCAGGACCATTACAGCATTTCTGGCAGAAGTCCTTATGGCTTAGTTTATGACAACCAGAATCTACTTGAGGCGATACTTTGGTCACCCTTTTAATCCAGCGGTCACCCATCAATAGTGAAGGGAAGTTAATCAACCTCAGGGTATAACAGTGAAAGAAGAGGTGCAAACAGATCTGTAAACTATCCCAATCACTGAGTAGCAGCAAAATTAAATTAAAACACTGCATGAGCAAGCAAAAGGCCGGTTTAATAAAAGGAGCCTATGACGAAAATAACTTTGTCACCGATTGAACACATTTGCATATGTTTTATTTATTAATTTATTTTTTTTGTCTGAGAGATCCCTGACTGAGCACCCTTTCAACACTAGATGTGTTGATGGGTTGATGCAGCTCTGCACAGCCTGTCCCTAACCAGCTGTGGGTCCCACTGCTTTTTCAAAGTTCTTGTGACTGTCAGGAGCGCAAAAATTTGCTCAATTGTTGGTTTCTATGCTTGTGACAACAAACAGACCCTCACATCTGCCAAAAACAAAAGCCATTTGCAGTCTGTGTGCTTTCACTCTGATTCACACACACACACACACACACACACACACACACACACACAGGCAGTGTTTCCCTCACAAACCGGTAAATTTCATATTATTCTCAGGTTCTACTGTCGTCAAGAATATGACTAATGTAATATAAGCATTTATGTCAAGTAGTTTGACAAAACCAAGAAAATGTTTCTCCCAATACTTCATCTAAAGCGTAGCTTTTAGAAATTCTGGCACAAATTATGTCATTGTGATACAATTGAAGGTAAATTATCTGATTAATGGTCCGGCTAAATTAACATTTTCTGTGAGAATGCTTTCTATTCACCTTTCACAGTTTCAAAAAACGAAAGGATGAACAGAAAAGGAGAAAGTCCTCAACAGAGGTTAAGATAACATATGTTTGGTAATATATGCGCAAGGCCTTTCAGACGACCCTGCCTATTTGTTGGGACCACCTGGTGTCGTCCAGTGAATCAGTCATGTACAAGAATGTTATACTTCAACTACCTATAAGTACACTTTGAGAAATGTATAAATCACGTGCTTCCATTCTAATAACATATTAAGAAAATATTTTTTTAACAAAAAACTTTGCCCTGCTTCCTAAGACAATCCAAAGGAGTGTGGAAGTTCTGTTTACGTATCACAGGGATTCAATGTGGCTTTGTCAACAAATCACATGTTGGCCATGTGGGGTGTTGTCTGTCATTATCCAAGACAGCTACTGATAATGTGAAATACTTTTAATTAAAAAAAAAATCATTTGTAACCACCAACCAGTTATATTCTACTATCCACCTTTCCCCTTTTTATTACTTACAGGCAAACCAATAAAAACATAACTCACCACTTCATTATTGACCTGTACGGATTCATTCTCAAACTCACAGATAATACAGTACAGTGAAGGAATAGAAAATATCAAAAGATATCAAAAAAAGATAAAAGAGGTTAAACTTGGTTAACTTCTTGCTTAGGAAACAGATGTTTGTTCTAATACTCAATTATGATATCCACATATGATATCGGTGACTTATATAGAGGCCAGCACTACAAAATGCTGTATTCTTAACATTGTTTGTAATTCGATGTTTATATCTTTTAGTTCAAATGTGTGCTTAATGCATGTAAAAAGTCCTTAACAGAAAGACAACCATTTATCCATCAACCATAAATGAATTAATCTAACTGTATGATAAATATTGTGTTCTTAAAACTTGCTAGCAGAGGGAAAAACATAAACCTCGTTTGGAATTGGGGGAAGTTATGAATGTATGAATTCATTTCAGAGTTGTTCAAGCTTGCGGTCCTGTCCCATGTGATTTACATCAAAGTTGAACACGTGGGGTAAACATATTAAATTACATGGAGTGTACCCTTTGTGCAAGGGTCTTAACAATCTAGCAGGGCTTACATTTGCACGGCATCACTGTGAGACACTACTGTAGACTCTCATTTTAATGTGCTGTGTATTTGCCAAGTTTGCTTAAAAAGACGATTATGCCTCCATTTGTCATAATCTCTGTTTTATTGTTTTTTATAACTAGTATAGGCCTTGAACAAGAATAATTGAGGACACCGTGTTTGATATATTGTGATTAAAACAGCTAATTATCCTCAATGCTGAATAACATAAGTCAATGGACCCGTATCTTTGACTTCTGAGGCAATACCCCTAAATGTTTAAGCAATTGGAATTATCAGAAATTGTTCCAGGCATTAAAGGCAGATAGGAAAGTATTTGGCTGTGCTGAGCAGCAAAAAGCCAGAAAAAGGGAGGCTTTTCTTTTGTGTGCTGATGGGAATAAAGTCAAACATGGAATAATGGCAGAATGATAAAGTGGAGGGAATAATCAGACAGTGTTGGCAGAAATGCTCTTTTTTGTTTCTAAAAAGGGGTGGGTGTTCTTGATGAGTGGGTAAATCTGAAATGGTATTTTATGATGAGGAGCTTCCTTTTGATGTGAACCCATCTCTCATGACAGGTCTGGTACGTGCAGTCTTGTAAAAAGCAGAGGCTGCACCACTCTTTTTATTTTTATGCTACAAACTGACAAATTAAAATTTAAAAGGAAGCTGATGGATGTCAGTAGGTTTCCACAGTTGGATATACCAAAGCTTATTGATACCTTTTATCCGTAGGGTGACCCAGCTCTGGGCAAATTCATCTATATACCCAAAGCCTTGTGGCATAAAAAAACATTTTACAAAATCATTTTTGCAAACGTTGCTTGGATACTCTGCTATATTTTGTGAACAGTGATTGTGTCCTATTGGATCCAAATATTTTAAAATTATGACTAAGTGTTTGAAGAGATGCATTGTCTGTCAATTACAAACGCATATTCAATTTAACCAGTGCCTGTACACAAAACAACATAATCGTCAATTTCTAATCTAATTTGACATTTAATATAAAAATCATTGCTCAGCTTAAGTAAAAGATGAACAATTAAAGCAGTTTTATTTGCATCTGTTCACATTTGAGTCAACGCGAGAGCTGTTTAAAAAGCTGTTTTGCTGTGATCCCTGCAAAGCAAAATGGTAAAATGACATTACAAGGGCAGCAATAGATTTGGAATAACCCAGGTAAGAGAACTGTTGGGTTTGATTTTTGTTCAGTGACGGGGAAAACAGGAGGAGAGCAGACAATGCTGTTTTGCTTTCAGAGGACAACTCTGGATTTTTCATTTGAAATGTCAGTGGTAATTTGTTCCTCGATCCTTTTCTCCCGCATCTTCCCATTTTCATAGTAATATCAGCAGATAAAGAACGTCTGAGACAAGAGAAGGTGATAGGTCCCTCCAATCATTCTAAGGCAACAAATAGTTTTTGAGTTTGCAGTGTGTCTTAGTTTCATTTAAGTTTCTCAGAATGTCAGTGTGCAGAGAGGTGTGGAGCTCACTTGGATCACAGCTCTGATATTTAACTTTTCTCTGTCTTTTGCTTCAAGTGAGGACAAGCCCTCCTGTGAGGACATCACTGCACCAGAATGCCCCGTCATTGGGTGGAAGCAAAGTCAAATGCATCTCTTAAAGCAATAACCTTCCAACTCTCAGACTGTGGATCCTTCGGAGGAGTTTCTAATCTCTTCAGGATTGAAAGTGTTCCAGATGTGGGGCAAAGAGTTAACCGACAGCCTTTCCTTACGTCTTTATCTCAGCTTTGAGAGTCCTCCAATCGATTTTCACCCTTAGAAGAATCATTGCGTCAAATATATCCTGTTAGGGTATAGCTCTCCCAGACCCACCTTTAAGAGACCTTTAGGACCATAATCTTATCTGTTCTCACTATGAGAGTCTCCAACTACCAACCAGACATGTGCAGACAGAACCCAACCATCTTCGTGCCAAACGATTTCAGACGGGCCCACTCACCGGCTGATGAATTGGCAACGAGGGATCCAGGAAAGAGGAAAGTACAACTTGTCCAAAGCAAACTGAGTCACAAAGAGCAGGAAGTGGCAGGTGGCTCAGTAATCAAGATGCTCTTCTCAAAGCCTTCCTACAGATCATGTGTCCATCTTGAGGTGCCTCTGAGATCCATTAGCTCTGTTGTCTTTTTGGACAAGTCCCTTTGTATTTCTCTTGCAGAACTAGAGAAAAGAAGAACAGGCCAAACCATTTTGTATAAGTCTGCCCTGTCGTGTAACTTTGGCGTCCCATCCAGCTGCACATCCACTGTAGATGACATACAAACCAAAACATCTGAGGATTATGGGAGGGCCAGAGTAGCCATGCTGCGCTGCACTGAACACGATGTCCAAGAAGACAGTTCGGGTCACAGTACAGTCCTGTTTTCAAAGCATGAGAGGCAAAAGGCTGTGCAAACACTACATACCCGACGTGTTAATAGTAAGACTGGTGACTCACATACTCAGTCCCACAGAGCTTCTTTTGAATTATTGTCATTCAAAGGGCCATGCGCCTCAAACGTAAAGGCTGGCAGGCAGAGGGGGAATGCAGATGAGGCAGCCTTCTCTGCTCAGAGCAATTTCAGGCACGGGCGGCACACTTTCAATCTTGGCCAAGGTATGAATTTCATCACTTTGATTCAAAAGCGAAAATGTAAAATATCCATGCCAACTGATCTATATATTCCTTATATATTCATCCCACTGGCTCGTACATTCAGAACCCATTTTAGGCAAGATCACGCTTAGGTGTACGGTAAGTGAGTGTGGTCTTGGATGGGTATGGAAAATCTTTTTTGTCTTTACTTGAAAAGCATTTGTATTTCTATCTCCTTGCCAAGTTCAAAGTTATAGGAAACCTTAAAATAAATACTAGCAATATATAAGTTGAAAATGCAGTATAAAGGCTTTATGATGCCAAATGTAGCAGAAAAGAGCCGACTATTTTAAGAGGCAAACGAGTTAGGAAATGTTGAAAAAGTTCAAACTTTAGAAAAATGATGAATTCGTGTGCATGTATTGTTAAAAAAGAGACATTTTGACATTTGATGTGGATGAAATGAAAACATTAAGTGATTCCCTGAGGGAAACAACGAAAACAACAACTTGAAATAAAAAGCCAAAGCGAATTAACATGGGAAGTAGAGAGATTGAATGTGTCTCTAGAAAAGCATAAACCATCCATCCATTTCTATAGCACTAATTTCTAGTAGAGTAGTGAAGAGACTGGAGCCTACCCTAGCTTTCATTTGGCAATAGGCAGGGTACACCCTGGACACGGGTCCAGTCCATCAAAGGGTCAAAGCACATCATGTGGGGTATTGAAGCACCATCTAAAGATCTCAGTAGTAATCTAGACAAATGAAAAATAAGCATAATATTCAGGTACATTTTGCAGGTGTAAGTGAAGTCTGAATTTTGTATGGATGGTAAAATTTGGCCACACAGTAGTGTGGTAGTTAGCAATGCTGTCGGACAGCAAGAAGACTCTCACTCTGAATCTCAGCTGCTATGTTGTAGTTTAACAGAGCAGCTAAATTGTTGGTCAGTCGATATGAGATACTATCAGCTATCTCTTCTGTACCCCACATTTAGCAAGAAGACCTACGCTGTATTAAAAGGACAGCTCGTAGAATAAAGAACTGCTCTAAAGAAATGGCTTACTTTCTTACTTAGTGATATTTGCTGTCTCATGAAAACAACAACACAACTATTCAATTATTAAACTATCTCAACTCAGTGCATTTGTTTCCATAGTTTCCTGTAAGGATTTGTCCTTTTCACCGGACAAATATTCTGATACCCCAAGGGCACAAAACACCCTGTATCAATAGCTTTCCCAGTCACATTACTCTACATCACTACTACATGTAAGCCGTATTTTCACAGAAGCGAATAAGGTGACGGTATATTTTTCTACAAAGAGTAGAGGAGTGAAGTTACAAGAGCACATTGGATGCTCTGCCATCTCATACATTATTCATTGGCCACTCATGTTACCTCGAGGTTATTTTTTCCCCCTTTTTGAGTTGTTTGTGGGGGGGTCGTTGGTTCATAGTTATGTGTTTGTGTATGTATGAAGGTGTGTTAGGTTCGGATTGAGGTCTGTTCATTTTCCACTTTTTTCAACTTGTGAAGTCTTAGATCGAATTTATGAACACTATGAAAACTGCAACTATAACCTAACATGATTTTTTTTACATAAAAACAGCAACAAAATGCACAGGAAATGTCCAAACACATGCAGACCAGTAATTAAATCTCACTGTGTTTCATTGTGAAAATGTTGGTGTTTGCCACACAGATGATGACGCAGTGATGACTGAATGGTTCAACTTTCCTTTGCTATCCAGTAGAGTCAGAAGCATGGAGCAAACAAGCGAGAAGTAACAAGACAAATGAAGGAGAAGAAGGAGGAGGCAGATCCGCAGCACCTCAAACTGTCGCCACTCTGGATGAGACCTGTCACTACCACTTCCGACTGAAGAAAGATTCTGTGGGTGGCCCTCATAAGACTCTCAGCCTAAAAGTATGAGTCATATTTCTGTACTGTTTTCTAAAAAATGTTTTTTTTTTTAATATAGAGACAAGCTTTCCCTGTAAAAATGTATAAAAACTATCGGCATACTGACTTACTACTCATAAAAAAAGTTATATCAAGTACATATATGGTCATTTACAAGGCTATTGTTAAAAGGCCATATAGCGTGAATTAAATGAAAAGAGGTACTTTAGGTGGATGCATCTTGAGGGTAAATATTTAAAGCCTCATCTACGGAAAGAACTAGCATTGTGTTTAAAAATACATTGCTGATGTCCTTTCAGTGGGGAGTTTGAATATTCTCCAATGAATGCTCCTTGTGGGTACTCCCACCATCCAAGAAAAAAAAGCATGTTAGGTGAATAAATAACTCTAAAATGATCCAAGAATTCTGGGAATCATCAGTATTGAAAATGGATGGATAGGTGTAGTCTTGTTTTATTATTTTGAGGAATTAAGAACTGGGGGGGTTAGAGGCCTTCTAAAGAATTTAGTTTTCTTTGAAAGTTAGGATCAGTTGCCTTTATCCGTACTAAAGCCGAGTACAATATTTCCATGTTGCCCATATCTCATCAACATTGCAAGGCTGTGAAGTGGAATTTCCAAGGTTGAGGCATAGATTAAGGATATTTTCTGAAAAATATGCTATCCCTATGAAGATTTTTTTCCCTCTTTTCACAGGATTAGTGTCTGTAAGTTGTACTCCATTCTTCCCACATACAAGTAGCTTACTGTATGTATCCTCATCTCTGCCCCAGGAGGCTTTAGAGCTCTTTAGGCCAGACTTCATCAGCCGATCTCAGGGTCGGGTGAGGAGGCTAGAATGGAGAACTAGAAGAAGAAAAGCATTGCAGGACTCAAACTCAGACCTGGTGCAAAGCCTAAAGGAAGATCGAGGCAAGCAGAAGAAGAACTACACCACGCCAGATCCACTTAGCAGTAAGTATAGCAGGACAAGTCAGCCTGGACCTGGATAAGCGGCAGTAAGCCACTGGGTATAATTCAACGTCAACACACTGGACAACAGATTGCATTGTTTTGGTTTTACTGATAGACCCTCAGGAATTCCAATGGCATACTAACACCTTTGGGTTTTATGACACAGGACCCTAGAACTTACATGTGACAAAGCAGTTTTCCTTCTATCATAATCAGAGATAAAGAAATGTCATCCTCTACACCAATCTTTTACCATGCTTTGCCATATTTTGTAATGCAACTTCTATATATGTAGACACAGTCATCAAATTTCTGGGGCGAGAATGCTTCGAGTGGGTACAGTTTACGGGTGATAAGCAGACTCTATGTAGCCACATAGAGTGGAATATAAAAAAAGATAAGGAAAATGGCTATTACTTATCAAATCATTTGGGCAAAAAGAGGAACTAGGGAGCATTTCACTAATCACTCTTCTAAATCAAATAACTTTAGGTGGTCTGAAGGAGAAATAAAACGAGTTTTAGATGGTAACTTGCATGTGGGAGTTCAACAACTTTGCTCCCTGCTGGCTGTTATGTATTACTGCAAATTAACTGCAGAATTTTTCATACTGGATGTGTCTTGACACAGTAGGTAAAATACAAAACATTTGAGATATAATGAACATTTATCCTTTTTTATTTTCCCCAAAGAAACTGAAATGTACTGGGGAGAAAAGTGTTGATACACAGTAAAGAAAAATAAACAAAAACAGTGAATATGTTATTGTGCTGAATACAGACATTCCCAAAAATTGATTGCTGCTAAATCAAGTCAGATTTTCATAGACAAAGACTTGTCTTCACAACAAAATAAAATGCTTACAAAGCTTATATGAAAATGCTGAAGTATTGTTTAATGAAAGTATGTATACAGAGGGATTTCTAAACAGCTGGTGGTGTCATATTTTACTGAAAACATCTCTTCTCAGCATTTGAAACGGATGGGTTCTCCACTCTATGCATCAGAATGATAATAGTTTTTTTTTTTGTATCCAACGTGAACACCAGTACTGTTTATTTTTACATTTACAGCTACAGTTATTCTTTAGGGAAGAAAAAAGTATGGACAAACAACAGTGAAGTTTTAAGAATAAAATGAAAAGTCCTGAAAACTGGGATACCTGAACAGCTGACTGTTAATTGACTCTTGATCAATTAAGAGTCACAATACAAATCATATAGATTTAGTCTATGAGAGTTAATCTTTATACAGCTATATACTGTATTTCAAAACATAGAATGTTTGCATTCTTTTAAATCTGTGAGTCTTTGTGGTAGCACGTCTTCGTATTGAAGGGTGTAACAGAATGAAAAAAGATCAGTCCTTTGTGCTCATTTACATATACAAGATTCATTTACATAATAATTCTTATTTGTTTCTCCCATGTGTTTGTTTTTGTGTGTATGTGTGTGTGTGTGTGTGTGTTTGCCTGTGTGTGTCCTAGATAACCTTTTCAAGCCGAGAGAGAGGTCTATATCAGGCAAAGAGATGCAGCTGAGGTCCAGACGGTGAGTTCTCTAGACTAAACCCTCTGTCAAAGGATGTCACTGTCATTTTTTAAAAATATTTTTCATGCAGAGAGGCCTGTCAGGCTTGCTTTTCAAATCTAGGATACATACCCACAATGCATATTAACATATCCACATTTTTACGGGTACAATAGAGAATGTGATGGCCAAATGTCAGGGCAAGAGATATGTAGTACTCTTTCTATGTCTGTCTCGTTTTTGGGCTTTGCTTATCAGGGCAGCCACACCTGATAAGACGGTTTTGGCCTTTATAATTATTTTTTCAAAAGCAGCACTATCTAACTTGGAGAAAACTCTTTATGTGCTGGTTGTAGCTGAGCAAATGAAAAAAGGAGTACATGTTCAGCCTGTTTATCAGTGGATCCAGGCATGGTTGCATGACATGGTTCAGCCACCCCTATACTCCTAATTCCACATTCCCCTTCCCTGTGTGAGTTTTCCCTTTTTCTGTCGGCAGGATTTACAACAAGCTGCCGGAGGTGACCAAGAAGAAGGAAGAGGAGAGAAAGAGGGCTGTATCAAAAACTAACAGATTACGGGCAGAGGTCTTCAAAAAGGTAGAATTGGGATTTGTTTGGTGCAAAAATGTCCTCAGATAGCTTTGTCATTCGAAAATTGGGATTTAAATAGATTAGAAAAGAAATTCAAAGTTGATGAAAACAACAAAACAATGCATATGTACCCTTATACCATGCAGGTTCTCATTTTCAGTTTAAAATCCTTTTTGTAAAACATTTGCTGCACAGTAAGCAGACAGTTTGACTTTTGCGTTTCATTTTAATTTCACTATATCCCTAAAACATCAATAATCACTATAAAAGAAGTAGCGAGACATTTGAAAGAATTAAACCAAATGTGTTTTTATAATCATCCAGCAGAGGCCACTGCTGTACTGCTAATGCCACTTGGTCCTGTCAGTAATCAGACTGCCATATCACCCAAATGCCATATTCATTTTGGTCCTATCAAACCCCATATACTGTGGAATATATAATTATGCCAAATTATCATTTTTCCTAACGAATCCCTGAAAACACCTGCCTTAAACTAAGTCCATTTTACTCACGATACCCCCACCACAATGTGGTAATATGAAAATGTTATTCTAAATGTATTGGACAAGGTCAACATAATCTATGGAAAATATTTTTTTCAGTCAGGGACTGCAGTAAAAAATTGTATTTTTAGAATGAGCATTGTCAGAAAGATCCACTTGTTTTCAGCTGCGTGTAAGATGTCACTCACTCTCCCATCACACCATAAGCAGAACAATGAAATTGCTGTCAGTCAGGTGAGATGTGAGAAATGTGAAGAGACATCTCCAATCTCTTACAGATAAGCAATCATTGTCGGCTCTGAAAAATGTTTGGGATTAAATATCATCTTTTTTGTTTGTTTGTTTTTTTTCCCATTATCTTGATAAAGATTGTCTAATGGATTGACTAATGTCACAGTTTGGAAACGCAGGAACCATATTACCAGAGCCCTGATTTTCAATTTCAAAGGAACAACAAATCTAGTTAATCTAAATTGTGGTTTACTAACACAGCTAGCAACTGCCATCGCTGTAATAGAATATTATATTTATTGGTGCAAGAAATAGAATATTTTCATTCTATTTCTTGGAGAAGTTATAATGCCCATGGGACCTTGTCACCTTGCCAAATGAAGCCATTAGCCGGGCCCAACCACAGAGGTGGGGATAAAAGGAAACACTGTTTGGTTTGTGGGCTTCATTTTAATGCCGACAGAAGGGAAGCCCAGCAACACCTCACAGCCGGGGTCTGATAACTCAAGGTAGAGAGTGACCGGTTATGAGTACAGCCTGGAATGAGATCCCAGCTGCTGCATAGTGCAGCTATAGGAGGGTGATTGCATGGCAGCGAGATCGAGAGCCCAACTTGTTCCCATCACCTCAGCTTGGCTACCACAAGTGTGAAGTTGATGGGTGTGAAAGCCCATTTAGAAAATGGGAGACGCACCTGTGAGCCTTTGAGCTGATCCTAAGAGGCCAAAGAAAGGAAGATCTGATTGCTGATAAGAGTGATTTTGACCAGTACTCCTGGGGACTTAACGGTCACTTATCTCTGTTTTTTCTTCCCTTGCAGCGACTTCTGGACCAGATCCTCCAAAGATGATATTCTGTTGAATGTACAGGACGTTGCACTTTGCACTTCATAAACTCAGAAACAATTTATTCCAAGTTAAGTGAGTAATGGGAACACAATCTTGCGGTGAAATTATTCCACGTAGAATTTGAAATGAGTATGTAATTAATTGTTGTTGCGTAAAGTCTATTCTCATCACTTACCACAAACATGCTCATAATTAAAAGATTAGACGAGTTTGTTTGAAGTATGAATGTTATTCTTTTGCTGAAATAAATTCCAAATGATTGAATGCAAACAAATTAATCATGGCATTTAATTAATTTATATCCAAAGAATGTACATACCTTTAATGAAGACTAAGTAGAGATAAAGCATCCCAAGTAAGTGTGTGTACAGAAGCAGTTAGATTTTCCTGGAAATAGAGCCTCAGTACTTTGAGCGGAACACCTTCACTCTGTCAGTGTATTGAAGTATTGTTCATAAAGTAAAAGAGTGAGACCACGTTTTGTCATTGGATTCACGTCTACCTTGAGGTGGAACCTCCCATCTGGAACAGTGGAATTTCAGGCTAATCGAACTCCGGAGACTGGCAGTGCCTCTGAAAGAGTCCTTTGTCACAGAGCTTCAAACCACAGATGACATTGTAATAAGAGAAGAGAGTCCTGAGCACAGACTGGGACCTTAGTGTACGCATGGCGTGTAAAGGTGACTGCAGAGTCT